TCCCTCTTGGGATGTCATCAGTGCTGATTACAACCTCCTTTCTAAGCATCTTTCTTGACCCTGCCCACTGTTCTTGCATGACTCACCCAGGGACGTGACAGCAGAGTCATTGCAGGGATGTCTTAGCAGGTCACAGATCTGCATTTGCCAGGTCCCACAGTGTTCCTTGTCTCTTAAGCAGACCGTGCTGTGCAGGAACTCGGGTTTGCACCCAGCTGGGGGCAGCACACGTTTTGGCAGTGCTCTGTATCAGCTCTCTGAAGGCAAGATGTTTCCTTGTGTGTTTGCAGTGCCACATGGCCCACTCGTGCTCTGGGGTGTGTGGTTCAACTCACTTTGGATGTGGTATCAAGCTGTGAGCTCAGGGCTTGAGAACTGGTTGAGATCCCATTGACTAAGAGCTGAGACCATCCAGCTGCTGACCACAGGACAGAGCTAAGCCCTGTTGTGCTGCAGCTGTTGGACACAGTCCTGAGCCACATGGGTCCAGGCCATTCCTGGGGTCTTTCTCCCACCCACCAATCAATAAAGCCTTGTGAAGGGGCAGCTAGGCTGGTTGAGGTGCTGCTGTTTCCTAGTTAGGGCAATTCATCAGCCTCCTGGTAGGGAACTGACCATTTGGCAGCCTCCTGGCCTGCTGTCAGCAGTTGGCAGGACCACTGCAGCAGCAAGTCTGTTTCCTGTATGTCTCTGTGGCACTTCTGGGAAGGCAGAGCCTGCGTGTGAGATGCTGGAGGTGTAATCATGTCCCTGAAATGTAGCTAGACGCAGCTTATTCCAAAAGTCGGGATCTTGCATTGCGACACGGCTCTGAGTCATCTTGCTCTCTCAGAAGTCCTGAAGAGTTGCAGCAATGGGCTTTTCAGCTGGGCAGCAGTGGGAGGTGAGGTTCCTGGAAATGCCTCTGACAGCTCAGTTAATCAGTAGCACTGGGTTTTGTACTTGCAACTCCCACTGCCCTCATCTCAGCACCTTTCCCAAGAGAAATGCTACTCCCAGAGCGCAAGGGGCAAGGTCTGTCAGGTGCCTGAAACAGCCTGGTCTCTGCAGAGCTGATCCTGGCTGAGGTCCCTCTGTGTGTTGTCCTCGGCCACCTCCCACGAGACAAGGACCAGGTCAGGCATCGCGTGCGTGTTTCAGGGCTGCCTGGGGTGATGTGTGCCTGCTGGCTCTGGCTGGGTGCTGAGCTGTCCTTGGGACCAGAGGGTGACACCTCCAGGTAGGATGCATGGTCTTAGCCCAGATTTCTGGGACCCAATGCTCTGGGGCCAAGTGCAAGTCTGCTGTTGGTGTGTGTGGGTGGTTGCCCTGCTGTGGTCTGCCCTGGGAGTGGGCAGAGTTTTGCCCTGTCAGGACCAACCCCTGCAGCCTGGACACTCACCCTGTGCTGCTCACGGGCCTCCCACATGCTGTCCCAGCCCGGGTGTGCTGCATATACACCCTCCCTGTGCTCCTTCCCCACCCCAGAGTGGCCAACAAATGGGGCGTGGGACCTGAGAAACAAAAGTCTCTCTGTCTTGCCTTTGTTTTGTTTGTTTTCCTTGCCTGTTTTTTTCTGTATTGTTTGAGCTGGGGCTTGGAGAAGGCAAAGGGCTGGCTGGAGCAAGCTGAGCCACTCCTGGGGCAGGCAGGGAGCTGGCACACATCCTGCTGCCAGCCCTTGCTTTCCCCCATCATCTCCCCAGGGCTGGGCTGTGGAAGGGCACACTGCAGAGCTGCTGGTCAAGGACAACCAGAGCCACGGGGATGGTGCCAAACTGGCACTGGGAGAGCAGCACTGTCCTGGCCATGCAAGCATACAGGGTCAGGCAGGCTGGCAGTGCTGCTGCTTGGCTCTACTTGGCACATGGAGAAGGCCTGCTCCAGACACAGTGCCAGGTGCTAGCATGCTGGGGAGAAGCCAGACAGCCCCTTGGGGACAGCTGAGAGCCAGCTGCTCAGCCACAGGGCTGGTTT